AGAGAGAGAGAGAGAGAGAGAGAGAGAGAGAGAGAGAGAGAGAGAGGGAAAGAGAGAGAGATGGAGTGTATTTTTATTCAAGTATACGTTTCTTGTAAATTGCACCAAAAATTATTTACCTTTCCTAAATATACCATTTCTTATTTTCGACAGTTTAGAAATGGGAATTTAAACAAATATTTATTAAAATATTTTTTTTTAAATAGAAGCTTCCGAATTCTGAATTTTATAAATCCACTTGCTACATTTTAATAAATATTAGTTGTAATATAGAGTGAGTCAGAATTACATATAAACATTATTTACTTAAATTACTTATGTTTTAAATTTACTTATTACTTACTTAAAAATTGAACGAATTCAATACATTTACTAGGATTAAAAAACTTTTCTTCTCAATGTATGTACATCGATCTTTCGAAATAGACAGATGTTAGAAAGTTCAGATCGAAGTTTCGGGTCGGATTTTTCCCTCGAGTCTCCCTAATCGAAATTTTGATTCTACTCTTTTTCGACCTCATTCTGTTTAATGCCTGAAATTCAGGTTGAAGGATTCTCGCGCATGCACAGTGGGACCTATCCTGGGCCTGACCCGATCATGTTGCTGCATGGTTCAGGTCGTATAGTACTAATATCTAAAGCACATTTTAGGAACACATTTCTCTGCTCCTTCGATAATTTTTTACAGTTTTTTAAAATAATTTTCGCATTTTCAAAAATATATTTTCAAAAAAATTTCGACTCGGGTACTAACACACACACACGTATACAGATAGGAGGCAGCTTCGTGATTTTGATAACAGCGCGATTTCGCGAATTTACGCGACACTGTCCAGCGTTTCGCACGAGCGTGAAATTCGCCACCGCCGCCGCCACCACTGTTGCTTATTAGCATGCAAATTGCGTCGAAATGTGACGATTGTTTCTAGGACGTTAATTGAATATCGTTAGCCGCTCGATAGTCGGTTCCGCAAAAATTGAACACGCTATAATTTGAGATTTTAATCATAGTGCGTGTCGCTTGATTTATTCGCGGCGCTTGCGGGCTACATTATATTGCGAGTTTCGTTGGCGCAACATGCAAATTGGCCCGCGAATTATATACGAAGTTTATTATTCTCCTCCAGAGTTTACAAATATTTCTGCATGGCTTCTTGCTACACGCGTCATGAATTTCGGCATTATACACGGACAAATCTCTATCTTTGCGCGTATTTCAACGCGAACCGAACATTTCTGGGGACACAACGAAACGTTCATGTCACTTTTTGGCCGGATTATTTTCTTTCCGTTCCGCCTCTCTGCGTTTTTGACGGTTTTACGATATCGCGATATTCAGAAGCCGAGCCTCATGAATTATAATCAGAACGCAAAAATTAAAGCGAACTGCCATTTTTCATAGATATATTTATATACATACATATATATATATATATATATATATATATATATATATATTACATATAACATATCGATTCCCCGGCCACACTCGATATAATTTCATTTATTGTTTCAATCATGTTGCTTTAATGATTAGCGAACGAGAATAATTTCCATAATATCGCACGCTAATTCGTATCAATTTTAATACTCGGAAAGGGCTCGGATTTTGCGATAATTATCATTTATTTACCATTGTTGTAGCTCTCTATAGCTCCCGATGTTCGTTCATTGTAATAATTATTTTCTGTATTACGATTGTTCACAGGTTCCCGGAATTGGATTACGCCGCGCGCGACCGCAGCATTTTTAAGGTAAGATTTTGCAAAATCACGCATGAAAAGTGACGTTTTGAAGTTCGAACGCGATCGCATCAACAGCAGGAAAGAAAGAAGCGCGCGTGCCTGAATGCGTGTGTGTGTGTGTGTATGTAGGTTGAAGAGGAAGGGAACGAGATGAAAAAAGAGTCATTGCAGCCAGTACGAACGCTCGAAATGAAAAAAACGGGAAATCGAAGATTTAAAGGTAGTGGTGCGCCGGCATCGAGAGACAGACGATATATCGCCGGCGCGGAGCCATGAACGTTAGAATTAAACAGCCCGCCAACAGCTTCTCGTAGCGTTTTCATCAATTTAGCCTGGATGCTCTGTATCTTTTTTTCTCTCTTTTTTTTCACTCGCGCCCTGCCTGCTACTCGCGCTCCCTTCGTTGGCCCTTTTTGTTCGAAGCGAGGAGCGAGGGCGGCGAAAATTTAAATGTATGTCGGTGGATACACGCAAATGTTTCCACATGTACGCGGAGCTTATCCGCGGATTAAGACTTAAGCCTGGAATCGGGGGAAAAAATCGCATCGATCGACCGTACGTACGGTCGTCGTTGGTCCGTTCGTTCGTTCGTTCGTTAGTTCGTTCACTCGTCGGCGCACATGAATTAAGCGACTTTGGCTCTGGCCGCGGGCGCGGCGGAGCGTAGGATAATTAATCACTCGAAAATCCGCGGTCCGGAATGCGCGCGCGTATATACCGCAATGATTATTATAAAGGTATTAATAATAACGGTAATTACGGACAGCGCTCTCATCGAGCAGAACCCGCCGCGCTGCTCAGAATAACGATAAGTGCGATAATCATACGCCGTTCTGAAGGCAGTCACGCCGCAATAAAAACTGATAAAATGTAGAGCCCTTGTGCCGGAATTTAATATCGCGCACAGGAGTTATTACATTTGTACATGCGTGAAATGCGGCAAGTCCGTAATTACGATTGCTACTCGCGCGGCGCAAATGAGGGAAGAATCTCGCCGGAGCGAGGAATTGTTTTCCGCAACGCGTTATTCGCTCGAACGAAAGTAAACGCAATTTTCTGTAGTCTAAACTTCCAGGCGCGAATATGTATTTTTGTCGAAATATATATATATATACATGCATTGATATACTTCCAAGTTCTGAAACGTGAGACATCTAACTTTCTCTCTCTCTCTCTCTCTCTCTCTCTCTCTCTCTCTCTCTCACGATCTTCCCTATATTATATATCTAGGGAAGACCGAAGCTAGATGTCTCATATTTCAGAATTTCGAAGTTACAACTTCTTAGACAACTAATTGCTACGACTGCTTGTACAAACATGATAGAGGCAGCCTTCTTCTATGTGTTAATGCCCGCCACGATCCTGTTAACCGTATATTTTGTCTTGTAATAACCAAAATACACAAACACGCAGCAACGTGGCCATCCTGTCTTGATACTGAGTTTAGTTTCCCGATAGCACAAAGTAAGAAGGCTACATATTAGATATGTTGTGTTCTGACTAGTAGTAGTTCCGAGCTCTTTACGAGAGATCTCCACAACCCTTCTGCCAAACCTTAATTATGGACCAACTTTACCTCGTCCGCCCATATACGATTCCAATCATTTTATAAATGAAAATTGCTTATATTATTCGAAACAAAGTAATATCATACACTAGCAAGAAACTCCATTCTATCTAGTATAACACGTCGCTTAACTTTATTCATTTACGATGAAGAATATTAATGCAGAATTTTGAGAGTCTCGGCAATTTACTTTGCTACTGTTGAATCAGTTTTTCTCAACTGTAATATTATTGCGATTTTAATGAAACTCAGGGAAAAGTATTTGGTTGTTCTAAAAGGGCCATTTTGCACTTTATTTCATTATCGCAATTCATTTCGCGATATTCACTGTTTCTCTCTCACTATCTCTCACTGTTCCTCTCAAGATAAACGCTTAATAAAAGCACGTGGACCCTTGGGGCGATCTAGATCCGGTATGTCCTGTGTTTGACTCGAGGCGGCCGTTGTAAATAACTGTGTCGCAGTGCAGAAAGTTCAGTTTTTATAAAAGCCCCGGAAAATTGGCCGGCGTGAAATATATCGGTGTCAAACAAATGAAATATTCCGTGTGTCGTTTGACGTGCTGAAAATTGGAGATAATAAAATGCGATAAAAGAGAGGCGGGCGCCAGGGGGACTCGCGAAAACGCTGGCGCGTTCCGCGTAATCAACATTAATCAGACGACCGAGTGGGCCGCTGAATTTACGATAACGCGAGTTCTCGTAAATTTGATCCATAATTGACGCGATAATCAGCGGCACCGGCTCGCGCCACTGGCGAAATTTTCCGCGGTAATCGACTGAATTCGAAAGTGCGCGCGACGATCAGCAGCCGCAACGGCGAAATCTTTGCCCGCATTATCGAGATCGCGGAATCCAATCGCGGATAATGGCAATGGACCGTGGGAAAAATTAGTCAAACGCTGAGGATATCGCGACGCACAGATGGCGGTCGATGCTCGCCACGTCGAGCCCGGAAACATCACCGAGCGCGACTCGATTTATCGCGATTCCTTGACATGCGAGCGAAATTATTTGGCGATTTTGCGGACGACCGACGGCGCGAACACGTTTAACTCGATACTACAAGCTGCTCGCGTGCGGTCGACTGAATCCGCATCATGAAAACATCACGTGACGTTTGAGCCGCATTTACATAACGCGCCCATTGACACGTTAGTCCCGGGATCAGCGATTATCGAGCGGATGAGAGTGCACCATAGTCCCTGTTTGCTCGCTCAATTCAGTCGTCGTGTGAGACTTGGCGAGGGAGAGCACTGGTCGCGGTGAGATTAGAAATTATTTCTCCATGATGCAGTCAGCGTCACATGCGCCGTGCCGTTCGCTAGGTCGGGAGTTACACGATTTCCAGCCTTGGTAATGATGATGTTGATGAGAGAGAGAGAGAGAGAGAGAGAGAGAGAGAGAGAGAGAGAGAAAGACAATTTAGTCATTACCATATCACAATACAAATGTAAAGTAACATAGACTAATAGAAAATGAAAATAGAGGTAAATGTAACGATAACATACGCATATGTGAGATTGAAAATCACGTAACTCGTTTCGCTTACAAAAGCATACGTGACACAATGTGTACACAGTCGAGAATGTCTTTTCATCTTCTGAAATATTTAACTATGATATTTAACTGCTCACGACAGAAATATCTTTCGTCTTCTTCACTGCGAGACAAAAGAATACCGATTCGATTATTACAAAGATACCTTTGCCGCGCGTCGTCGTAGACGGGGTCGTTGTCGGATGAGCGTTTGAAATTCCATGGGGGCCGCTCATAGATTCGAAATTCCTCCCTTCGGTTCCGTCAAAAGCCTCTTGCTTGGCGCAGCGCTCTTCTTCATCTTTCCGATTTTTTTTCCGTCTTTGCTTTCCTTTCTCGTCTTTCTTCGGAATCAGAGGCGTGTTTAGCGTGAGCTGTCACGTTCGTCGTAGTGGCAATTTGTCGGGCGACGGTTATGTCAGACCGCGCCACTGAAATTTTTAATTCCTTACGAAGAGAGAGCGCGCGCGCAGGAGAGAAAGAGAGAGCAAGAAGGAGCAGCAGCAGCAGCAGTAAAGTCAAGAACAGTAGAAGTAGGGTTCATTTGTCCCGCGACAATTATGTAGCGCAGGAATAGGGCGCACACCGCGACGCGGCTCGTCGCGACACAAAAGCGTCGGCGAAGGAGAAAGAAGGTAGCGGTCGCGTGCACTTTGCAACGCTCTGCGAGGCGTTGCTGAATGCGGCACGAGCTCCCCGGGATAGGATGGGATACGTAGCAGGTAGGGCAGGTCTTTTACCGTTAACTTTATCCCCGTGTTACGGCGAACGTCTCTCCCCCGCATTAACTTGTAAGGTATACGTTAATTCCTCCGCCGCCCTTGCACCCCCCCCCTCCGTCCCCTCTCGCCTCACCATGCCGTGAGAGTTAGCAAGTTAGACTTGGCGGAACTTATTCGCGCTTCATAATTTATTCGCCGTAAGTAATCCTGATTTCGTGCCGCGTTACAATTAGATCCGTGTATCTCCAATTAACATCCAGCAAGCACACTCGAGAGAGAAAGAGAAGCGAGCGCGCACGCGCCCGCGCGAAACTTCATTAGCGTCTCGTAATCAGAAGCTATTTATACATATGCGCGAGGAACAGCGACAGACAAAGTCGCGCGCCACGCCGGTACTTTCCCGCGGTTTAGCGCGTCTCTTTCCGTGCTCGCTGTTATTTGCCAGTCGCGTTTGCATCGTGGATTCGCGGATGTCAAAGCGCCCGCGAATCGCACGGCAGTAATTCCCTTTCGGCGCCCGTCAGCTCTCAGCGTCGTCGTCGACGTCGTCACCATTGCCCGCGGACAACACGCGTCGCGCGCACACACACACATTCAGTAGTAGAGCCGTGTAACCGGCCAGACGATAGCTTTCCGCTCGAGAAGTCCGTCGCTTAGCCGTTTTGTGGACTTGTGGACTGTCGCTACAAAACACCGCGATAGGATTGTGTTCATAGAATGAAAACTGAGAGAAGATATTTAAAAAATATATATATTTATTCGGTAGTTACCGATAACATATTTACTTGGAGTTAATATAAAATATTTTTTCAGATAAAAAGCTGCACATACATTTTCTTCAAACTCTACTTTTCATAAGAACAATTTTATTGTATTTAAATAAAGGAATGTAGACTTCAGTAAATATGCTGTTGGTACTCAGCGAAGGAATATTTTTTATTTTTTAGATATTTTTTCTCTCACGCAGTATGTATGTGTGTATGTATGCAGATTTCAAGTCTACATGAATTATTTGTTTTATTTTCTATATAATGTAACATGTATACGGTTTTCTTATGTAGATCATGTAAATTATGCAAAGCACTGCAAATTAATGTTAAAATATACGATAAAGAGTGATTAAATTATAGGACAATTGTCTGTCCCAGTTTTTGGTTTTAATCATAAACGTGATGTTTAAAA